AAGGCCGACGCGCCGTTCCACTTTTACCCAGATTGAAGGCTAGATCTGCGTTCGCCACCTTGGCCCACAGCTTGTCTCTCGCCACCGTAGCCGCCAACCAGAGGAACCCGCCGGATCCCCGAGGTTCGTCTTCTTCTCCTCTCTCCCCGTCCAACGAGACGAAACTCCCGTTTGTTTGCTTGTCCGCAGAAGCCGTTGCAAACGAGTCTCCCGTCGGCACGAACGTGCGAGACGCGTCGATCGCCAGTCCCCGCCCATCTCCGCCCGACCGAGACGACCATCTTCCAACCACCCAGGTAATTTCCGTTTCCAATTTCTCGCTTTTCTCGCCACTTACGCGTCCACGTTGCAGGTTCTCGAATCCGGTGCCAACCAACGAGTCGACGACCCCACCGATACCTCCGACGCCGGCGAACCGTGTACCGCTCGTCGCAAACGTAAATTCTCTTCCCCTCTTTCGCCCGCCGAGGTCGTCGTAAAACGAGAAACGCGCAGAGACGCGGGACGCGTCGGAGAATGACCGACGACGCAGGTTCTGGAAATCCGAGGATCGATGGAGAATCCCGTTCGTACGTACCGCCGACGACTCCGCGTTCCAGCGTCGACCGAGCGTCGCTCCCATGGAATCCGACGATTTTGTGATAAATTCGATCGATCGGCGGATCCCGGGTGATCGTTCGCGTCGACTCGTCCCCGTTTGCCCCGTTGCGACGGTCCGCCAGCTCCGGCTCGACGATCCGACCGCGCCGTCTCGAGATTTAGCGTCCAGCGTGCGACGTCCACGCCGTTGCGCTAAATTCTCGCTAAAAACTGCGAACGCGTCGTCTCGTCGCTCCGACCCAAGATGCGACGCTCTCTCCAGCGGGCGAGGTATGCGTCTACGTGCGTACGCGGCGCGAGTATCGAAGAAGGTAACGACGGGAGAAAAAAGTTTGCGCGTCGCGAATCGACGAAACGTCCGAGTCTGTAACGCCCGACGTCGTCCGGGTAACTCGACGCCTTGTATCTTCCAACTTGCGAGCGCGACAACCTCGATCGACTTTGCGTTTCTTTCTCGGTCCGCGACTGCCGCCGCTGTCGCGCTCTCGTCCCGTCTTCTCGAACCTCCGAGTCTGAAACTGCGACGCAAACTGCCGACCGTCTTTCGACGCGATCGAGCGACGGCGACTCGAACGTACGGGAC